GTGACTCTGCCTACCAAACTCTTTAAATAAAGATGATTATGAGGGCTAGTCACGTTTAAGGAGGCAATTTATGAGGAGTAAACTGAAATATGTTCACCTTCTCTAATCATTTTCCATCATATTTATTAAGAATAAGAAAAAGAACAAAATGAAAAAAAAATGGGCAAACAAAAGCAGCAAAATTTAGTAAAATTGTTGACTTTATAGTAAAATAGGCACATTTATTGCAAATAATCATGTAAATGTGCTCAAATTCCAGTTTTGATGCCTTATAAATGTGACAAATTTCAATATTACATGATATTAGAAAAAAAAAAGAAATGAAAAAACTTAAATCAGCTCACAAGGCAGATAACTTTGTGCTGAAAGGCAGTGAACCTGTTCCTATAAAAGCAAGGAAAAACATAGCAAAAACAAAGGACCCAGAAAAAAGATAACAGCTATTTTACACTTTATACAATACCCCCATAAAATATGTTGTAGCCATTTTTAGTCTCCAACAACAAGGGTTGCAGCTTTTTCAACCCCCGAATCTTGAAAAAAATGGCTGCAGCATGTGAAGAGCTGCAGTGAAGGAATGGAGAGTCCTACACATATTTCTTGTTTCTCCACACAAAAAAAATCAAAGCTGCAATAATTGATTTAGGTGTTGTAATTGTACATGTAAAGTATAAGCTGCATATATTGATTCCCAGCCCGGATAATTAGGAATCTGATGAATTTATAATGCACATGTCTATACACAGCTGAGAAAAATGTGTTTAATCACACTTTCTAGCCAGTGATACTACGGTTTCATATAAAGGTGTTAATTTCATTTACAATCATTTGCTACCCAAATCCTGTTTAAAGGTAGTGGTGCATGGGAAGTAGTAGCTGAACTTGTTTTCTTTCCAATCTTAACAGAAGGTTTTATTAGTGCATGACAGAAGCTTCCTGTTTTTTGGATCCAGGCAACAATGTCATGTGTGTGACTCTCAAACCAGTGGTGAGAAGTACCATTGATCAGGCAACTTAAAAAAAACCTATCCTGATTGATTTTGTTGGCCCTGATAGGCGTGGGGCCAGCTGGAGCTGTACTGAGAGTGCAGCCCCATTCAAGTCTATGAAAGCTGAATTGCTGAGGTAAGTAAAAAATCTTGGTAGGGGATTTCTTACTTTAAAGCAGAACTTAAATATTATTAACCCTTGCAATGGGGCTACTCCTGCACTGCAAGGGTTAACTGCTCCTTTTGGTCTAGGTAGGAAAATAACAATGTTATAATCACCTGATCCTCAGACTCGTGTAAAGCCGTGTGGTGCCGGCAGGGCCACACACAGCCCAAATTCTGGCATAGTTAGCAGAATGCAGTGTACAGTCAACTTAACACTGCTGGGACACATTCAGCATTTGACTGATACTACAATGCTGTACACACAGAAAAAGGAATAATCTGCACTGCTGTCAAAAAATCTCCACTTACAATAATGAATGCTTCTACAGTTTGGAAGCACTGATTACTGTTCCAATGAGACCCCTCCAGTTGACATATGTGAGCCTTGTATAGCCATGTTAACTCAGAGTAAACAGATAACACTCAATGCAGGAGCAGACATTGATACCAAAATGAAAAGATAAGAGTAAAATTGAGAAGTCAGACATGTGAAAATCCTTTCACCAACGTTTTATCATGAATACATTATCAGTCCTAAGAACATCATTATAGCATATTCCCAAGCCACAAAAATTACACGACCAGCGCCAACTGCACAACTAAAGAAACCCTCCTGTGGCCTAAAGAGTTAATAAAAATACAGTAAGACCGCCCCGTAACAGACAAGGGATCCTGGAAACTGCATAGAAAGGAAAAGAAAACACCGGGCGCATAACCTGGTGCAATAATCCTTTTATTCATGGAAATGCTAGATGCAGAGTCTCACTGCCGCTTAGCTAAACGCATTTTCGGGGAACTTCCCCTTCTTAGTGGTCAATCAATGAGCCTCCAAGGTTTTCGGAAGGTAACAACCCCTGAGCTCTGATTGGCCAGAGAAGGGGCCTCCTAGCAACCAAATGCCATTGGCTGATTGGCCAGATTTGGAAACCTTGGAGGCTCATTGATTGACCACGGAGTATAAACTCAGCTTATCATTAGTCAGCTTACTCAGCTCTGAAGAAGGGGAAGTTCCCCGAAAACGCATTTAGCTAAGTGACAGTGAGACTCTACATCTAGCAGAGCTACTGAACAATTCATCTATTTGCACAGCAGTTCACCCAGTGAGGACTACAAGTCCAATGAGACATAGTTCTTCCTCCGTTTGTAAGTATAAAGAGTTTTTTTATTATTTCCATTAATAAAAGGATTATTGCACCAGGTTAGGCGCCTGGTGTTTTCTTACCATTATAGCATACTATGTCCATTACTACTCTACCTCAGCACGTTGTTTAGATGCTATCCTGGTCAGGACCCTATCTACATAGAGTTTACATGTTCTCTCTGTGTTTGCTTGGGTTTCCTCTGAGTACTCTGATGTCCCCCAACACTCTAATTCTCAACATTTTTTAAGCCACGGCACCCTTTAAAAGTATGCAAAATCTTTAAAATGTAAAAACTGTAAATGTAAATAAATTATGTGTGGCCCCTCCAAAATCCATACCAGACTCTTATCCCAGATAGGGGTCTGTTATGGATTTTAGGGAAGACTTCACACAATGACACAAAAAACAGGGTTTTCCCCTTCACATCAGAGCTTTCCTTTCAAATCAGGAGCCCCCCTTCACATCAGAATGCTCCCCTTTCACATCAAAGCCCCCTCCTTTCAGGTCAAAGTAGCCCTTTCGCATCAGAAGCCTGCCTGCACCATGGAAAGGCATGACACAGTGCAAAAATATCAAGGAAGGCAGAAGGCACACCAGGGTGCCACAACACTGTGGTTGAGAAAAAAGGTTCTCTAGATATATGTTGGTAGGTTAATTGGCTCCTCTCTAAATCAGCCCTAGTACGTGTGTGCATGTACAGTATGTATATACAGGGATCTCGAGTCTCCCTGATGTTTAGGGAGTTTCCCTCTATTAGATAGCGGCTCCCTGATGTCCGCGAGAGAGGCATTTTCTCCCTGAAAGGTTTGCTCTGAGTAAACCTTTCAGGTAAGATATCAGTGGGTAAAAGTTCAGAGTGAGGCTTGCCTCCTGGAGGAAGGTCATGTGATCTCTAGAGTAGCCTCAGAACGAGGCTTGGCTCTCAGAAGGAAGAAGCTACTTGCTGCACAGAGAGGGCGGACATAGACTACTATTGAGAGCAGGTACAGGCACTGCTGCAGGGTTGAGAGAGAGCTGTTAACCCTTTGTGGATAATATAGAATCAATTATATGTCCTAGTTGTCTAGTTATAGAGAACATTTATTTCATTTGCTGCCCATAGCAACTAGTCAACTGTGTATCAGGGACTTTACTCCTCGGTGTTTTTTTAAAAAGGTCCCGGGCTGTCTAATAAATTGTGACACTTGAACATCAATTCACAAATCTGATGTATATATAAATAAATATATAATATTATTATTAATATCATTATTATTTCTTCTATATTCTGACGACGGCCGCTGTAAAAAAAAATAAGAAAGGGCACCTCCCTGAAATGAGACGGGAACCTCCCTGAAATAAGGTTTTGCAGGTTGGGATGTCTGTATATATATATGTGAAATAAAGACTTTAGATTGTAAGCTCCATGAGTGCAGGGACTGATATGAATGTACAGTATGTTAAGCACTGTGTTGCCATATAAAGTTTTGCTTGTGTAATATATTAATTAGATAATATAATACATATATTTGACTGCATCTATCTGCATGTTATGTGACTCTCAGTTCCTCAATTGTGTTACTGTGAATCTGTCTGCTTTAAAGTCCTACCTATTGTTTTGTTTGCTTATCACATCTCACATGGGGGATAAACAGCAACCTTATTTAAATCCTCCAATCAGGTTACGCCCAATGTACATTTGGTAGGCAGTGTACAGAAAGGAGGATATATAAGGTATTGTTAGCAGGCCACGTGCTCTCTTTTTTACCTGGAACACAAAGGCATTCAGTATTAACCGGCGAGAAGCTGAGAGGTAAAACTCCACCACACTTGTACATTGTCTTGTAAATATTGTTTTGTGTGTTATTTGTAAATATGTAACCCTACCAATAAATGTATATTGCTGATGGAACTACTTCTTTTGTCTAAGAATCTTCAGATCCAGGGGTGTTTATGTGAATATTATTGTAGTCATTGGACTATATTTACATATCCATTTCACCTGGGTAATAACTGCATAAATTGTCAGTGCTACGTAAATACCTGTAATAACTAAATTACAATAAATATGTGACAAACCACAAGCCAAGGGTGGGCTATGTGGTACTGAGTTATGGTTATGGAGTTATGGTGGTCCTAGTGTGTGGTTTGTACTCAGTACTCTCTATCCCTATAAGAGAGATGAGTGTAAGATACATCACCTGGACATCCTTCTTTTCATGACTTCAATAATGCCCAAAAAAGGAACTTTAGTCATGAAGAGAAAAGTGTGCTGGTTAAATATCTTACACTCATTGAACATGGTGCCACCCATAAATTGTTTCAGTATGCTACACATAAGATCAGATGGTGTGTAGGGGAGTTATCTCAATAACGTTTTTGATGAGCAGAAATATAAGGAAATTTACCAAAGGTTATGAAGACAACAAAAAAACTTAACACATGTTCCAAGCCTTCCGTGCGACTGAGAAAAAACACACAAAGTTTCCATCTTGTCCATACGAGCTATCAAAAGATTATAGATTGATCAATATAGTAGTACTAGAAAACAACTAATCAGAACTCATCTTTCATTAGAAATGTGATTCATTGCTGTGGGTTACTGCCCTTTTCACTACAGCTTAGATGCACTTTCAGTTAGTAAAAACAGCTAATTTAGTGCAGAGCTGTGAATGCACTCCACACAACATACTGTATATGTAAAGTATATTCCTTGGCTACTCACCTTTTCTTTACTAACTGTTACAGTAGCATCAGCTACATTCATAATAACTGGAACCCAATCTTCTTTGTCTGAGTTGTCTATAAGCCCTTCAATTGCTTCATTAATGATATCCATACCTTAAAAAAACCCAAAAGGTTCACATTTGTAACTATAAGCATTGAGATTTGATCACAAGCAACAAATGTAATTGGTAACTGTGAATAACTGATGTTTAGATTACAAGGTGCCCACTATTCCTTTATTAGCACCCAGTTATGATTTTTCCTGGACTCCAAACCCTGCCAACTTTCATTTCAGAGCCTCGGTTGCTGGTAAGGTAAGGCCATTCTCCTGGGACAGAGAAATGGCATGTCAGGCCAGTAACAAAGTCAAACTAAATGACAGAGTGGCAGAAAAAAAAGCTTTTCTGACTACCAGAGGTTATAGCAGCCATCTTATGTCTTATGTTATCTGCTCTCTGGCTGGACTTTCAGAAGTTAAACATGGAGACAGATTACATTCAGTCAAGTAAAACGTAGGCAATAAGATATATAAAACAAAAACTCAAATCTCTGAGGGTTATTAAACCTTCACTTTTTTGGCATATATCTACTGCCAGCACACAGTAGATATATGCAAAAATGTTTAAAAAAAACAACCTTTTAAAACAGGTTTAAACTTACCTGTGTCTTCACCACGCGCTCCCGTCCGAACATAGGATCATGTGACCTGCTTCTATGTGAAAGTGCTCAAGTCTAGCAGACAATCTTTAGGCCCTAGAACTGTCACGTGACTGGGGGAGAGATTTCAATGCTACCATGGGTCGCTGGCACCTGTCATTTATGTGTTGGCTGCACAGGAGGAAGAAGTGCCAATAGATTGCTGGTAAGGTTAGTATGGGGGGTTGGGAGGGTGTCATTAATTTTAGATTTGATCATTTCGATAGGTTCTTCACAGTTACATTAGCTTAGACCTTTGTTACTTACCTATTGGTCTAGTGCATGACAGCATGCCAACATACAGAACATGAAACTTCTGCACAAGTTCTGTCTTTGGTGTTGGGAATTCTACTGCAGATGAAGAAAAACAGAATTATAAATGTACCACTATTAACACTAATCAACAAATATACTGTATGTTGGGTGGTCTCAGGGCCTAGAAACATAATTTGACATTCTGTAGACAGGCAAAGGATATTTCTAGTTTCTATTATTGAAACATTTCATAATGCTGAATAAAAATTGCAAATGACACAATAGATATCCAAAGCTGAAACTATGGCATACATAAGTGCTAGCACTACTAATAAACTGGCTTCACTGTTTCCTATAATAGAAATATTTTATAGGGTGCTGTTCCAATATAACTTCAGTGCTTTCCTCTCCTGATACTAATAATATATTATCTAGCAAAATGGTAACACTGGTCAGAAGAATTCCTCTATCAGTTCAAGTCAACAAATGCCTGAAGCCAAATACCAATGTACACTAAAAAAGTATTTGAAGCCTAACTTTCATATTGTAGTTAGTAGTAGACAAACAACAGTACAGATTCTAGCAACATGAAAACCGATATGGCTGATCTCAGTCTCATAAGGGTTCAAAACTGCTCTACATATATAATTTGGCCACCTTAGTATATGGTCAAGCTGACCTGTACTTCTCCCGCTCAATGTCCAAGTGTGGCTGACTTTAAAATCTTCTAATTGACAGTGACACTTACAGTATGTGCTATTTTTCTATGTAGGCAATCACTGTCAATCTATATGTCAAACTAACCAGCTGGACATTGTCAGACATAGGGACAAAGGGACATAGGATACAAATAGGAACATGCCTTCACAGAAATTAGGTTGTATAGCATAACATACATTTAAAGTACACATATGTTTTCCATACTTAGGTATAGAAACTGCAAATAATGAAGACAAAATGATGACTAGGTAGGTAACGTCTTGTGTATAGATTCACAGCCTTACAGATACTGTTATTGAGTTATGATATCATCAATAGCCTTATAGCAGGACTGACAGCTGGTGACAAAAACATTTTTTTACAGGGTACATTGATGATACTTCATATACATTTTATAATAAGAAAGCCCAGCACTATCTGCTTAGGTTGAGGCACCCTGTGAGTAACTGACTAAGCTTTATGTCCATGTCTCTGTATGACACACTCTCCAGTCTGTGTTATCTCATCTTCCAAATATTGAAGTCCACAGCATAGGAGTTAATCAGCTACAACAGAGCTGCTGTTGTAACTTGTAACTAAGCACCTGATGGCAACAGGTACATATGAAATACTCATAAGTACCATTTCATTTTTACCCTATTAATAAAATAGATGTCTGCAGTATCCAGTTGGGATGTGCAGCAATTTAGAGGACACTATATGGTTTATGAGTTTAGCAAGCTCTTCTATTTAGATCCAGCACTATAAACAAAAAGACAACCATGAAGTTCTGCAGCAATATAGTCTAGTAACACATCCTACCTTGCAGTGGTACATCCAGGCTAGCATGTGTTCTTTCCTGTGAGGAACTGCAAGCCGTAGCTTTGGCATTTTTCCTTTCTGCCATAATCTGTAAGACATCGAGCATTTCCATTGTTAATGGATTTATTTTAGAGAGACTATTCATTATTCTTCATATTTATCACCTTTATTACTGCTTGAGATGATTTCTCCACTATCTGCAGAGCAAGGCAAAACAATGTAAACATTCAAAGCAGCTAGCACAGTATGCATTTTTTGTGTTCTGGCTGCTTTACACCTTTACATGTAGATATAGACAGTGCAGTAACCACCGGGTTGTGGGCCTGATTTACTTCTGTAAACTGGGGTAGGGGTGCACTGACATGAACCAGAGTTCATTTCAAACACCCAATCATGTGAAAATGGATGGCTAAATGGTGCAAAACATTTATATGGCATTACAGGAGTGGGTGAATTGTAAAAAAAATCTTCCAGAAAGTATAACTGTGCCTGTATACGTGATTTAAACCGTATTAGCAGTAGTTGGACTATTGGCATGCATTTAGCCATAGTCGCCCTATAGCAATATCTTTATGACAGCTGTGTCCCATTCCTCCATCTACAAATGCTCTCAAATGAAGCTGCTTCTTTTAGAAGTTCACCTGTCCTGCATCGTACCTTAGAACAAATTTCGTGAAGACTAGTCGCAATGGCTTTTGCTGGTGTGTCACATCGGAACACGTGGCATTTTAAAATCCTTGTATCCTTGTCTCTGGCCACATATGCAAAATCCCTGGGAGACAAAAAAAAACAATACAAAAATTAAGTTTCCATACATATTTATATAAATTACATCTTTTTTTTTACAGTGTATAAGAATCAGAATATTTCACAAACATGTTATCATGAAGGTTGCAGCAAGAATGTCAGACATTCCTCTAGGCTCCTCCTGAGCCTTTTGTTGCATTGTGACTGGGTAACAAAAACAAACTGATAAAGAGTGGGAGACCGACTTGCTGAGAGGCTGGTAGCTTTAATACATACAAAGAATAGGAATAAGTCATTGTATAGTGTAATTGTGTATTTTCCGCCAAGGAGATAAATAAATATGCTGCAGTGCATTGTAAATGGGCAAAACCAAGGTGTAATAAATCTCCACATGTAGCTTAATTGGAAATCTGGTTTGTTCATTGAAATTCAGGGAACGCATCATTGTACTCATAAACTCAGAAACACTGTGCAGGAAAGCAACATAAACGTGGCAACCGCATGTACAGTGTAACAAGGGGCTTCTTATAGACTAAGCAAAGACAAGGGAATAGGATTTGTCCTGACATGCAGGTACTATACATCAGTGGAATTGACAGGTTATCCTGTTGAATGCAATATGTCACATTATAATAAACAATAAATACTGGACTATTGAAATTATTTCATATTACACCCATTTTATAGAAAGGAAAAATAAATACTGGATTAACCTATCACAAAACTGATGCCATTCAACACCTATATTATAGAGAAACTAATGACTCATTATTGCAACATGGGGAACAATCATACCTAAACTTTTCTTGGCTGTCAGAAGTCGCATGGTCAGACCTGCCCTATCCTAAGCAAAATTTGTTCACCTTTTTCGCCAAGCTACCTTTATCACCAGACCAAGAAAGTTCTACATATAATCTTCAGCAGCATCCATTATAGAGAATAGGGCAGAGAAATACTGTACTGTGTGTTTCCTAATACATTTCCACTACAAAGTATGGACAGGTCACAGGCTTGTGTTCAGGGTTGTGTGTGTGTAGGAAGGGCAAGGGGATCTAACAGACAATGCTGAAAGCTGGCTGGGAAATTAAGCCTGCTTCACTTCATCCAAAACTGAAAGAAATCCACAGCTGATAGAACTCATGATTCAAAGATTGGCATTTCAAGTTATATCCATACATGGTAAGCAGAAAATAACCAAGTAATCTAAAATATTACATGTAGGTACCAATCAGGGATGTGCGGTCAGGGGAGGCAGAGCCTCACCTAGTATTGTGCAGGAAAAAGCTGCCAGCTTCAAGTCTGAAGCTGACAGCTTTTTCTCCATTCAGAGAGGCTTGTAACAGGTTACACAGCAGGGAAAGTCTCCCCGCTGTGTAACCTGTCATGGACGGAGCGCTGCCTGTTAATTACAGGCGGCGCTGCATGCGGCTTTTGACAGCTAAGTTAGGTTACACTGCAGCGGGCTTCCCCACTGCTTGTGTAACCTAACATAGTGAAGCCAGAGCTGCAACAACCTCTAATCTGTGTTAGAGGCTTGAACCCTTTGAATGATTTGGACCAATAGCAAAGCACCATTGGTCCAAGCTGTCCAATCAAAAAAAAGAAAACAAACACCGAGGACATCGATCTCGATGCCTCACCAGTGACAAGCAAGTGAGGGACAGGGAAGAATGCCTCACCCAACATGGAAGGTACCGCACATCACTGGTACCAATTGGAACCAATTTGAGAAATGCACAAAGTTCAAGGATGCCAATACATTTTACAACTTTTGATTTCATTGGAAGTTTTGGTTTGGATGGATCTAATGAAGGCCATACTCCGAGAAGAAGCCATGCAACAGGGTGGGAAAATTCTGAAAAACACTCCATAGATGCTGTGATAAGAGCAGCAGTAGAGCTGTCCTCAATTTGTATATTATACCCACCTCAGACGGATCTTTTTGCTGTACTGGTTGACTGGAGATATATAATGCGATATGAATGGCTATGTTTGTCAAGTTTTAGTTTGCCAGCAGAGACTATTGGGCAGGCATTAGCACGCATAGGCTTTCAATGTCTGAATCATACATCTTCTACACAGAATATTGACCTGTTTGAGGCTATCCTCAGACATTAGCGAAGTGGCTTGGCTTCGATTTGTCTTCACAGGTCTGGGTAAGGCCACAGGTAAGTGATCGCTTTCAGATGCAGACAACAATTAAATTTTGTCTGTGGGGGGGCCATTCTCTTTATGCTAACCCCTTTTTTGTCACACATTTATCCATATACCACACAGGACACAGACTGGAAGGTCTTTCAAGCATGCCTTTAAAATGTCCTTTAAACAGAAGCCCAGTTAAGTTGACTTATTTCTTTCTAATGAAATTGGCGCATTTCCTTGCAAATGAAGCCTAATTATAATATCTAGTGACAAGTGGATTGCTACAGGCAATAATCATGTTAGTTTCATAAATTAATGAGCTATACAAGATTTCTAGTTAAAAGAACTCCATTATCCAGCTTTGCTATACTTGAGAGATTTATTACAAGAAAAATTAGATATTCAAGAGAAATACTACCCTCATACAGGTGTTCTCAAGTGATTTAACACAAGGCTGAATCAGTCTGGACAAAGATTTAGCGTCACACTCATGATTTTGAATAAAATGTTGAAATTATATGAGGTTATTGTTATTGGATATAGCTGTTAAATGGAGTAGTAAGTAAAGTTGGCACATCTCAAAGGCTTTTTTTAAACAGAACAGTTTACAACAGTACAACCAACCAGATTTCTGAACTTTACTGTAGTCAAAGATTGTTTTAATGAATTACATAAAAGGGTCTAAGAAATATGTGTATGGGGTCTTTTCCAAAACCTCTACCTTACAGCTCTTGCCATCCATAAAACTTCGGAAGGCAACTGCAATGCACACTGGGCTTGATTAGTTAAAATATCAGCAGAAAAGAGGATTTTCCTCTTAAGAATTATAAAATTAAAACACACATCTTATTGGCTGGAAACTCATCTTTAATTCCTTTTGTCTTGTTTAGACATCTACCACAATAAGCAACAAGAATTAGCACTTAAAATTGCTGCTTACCCTATCATATACTATGAGACTGAAGAACATTTAAAGTAGTATTAAACTATCAAACTTTTTTTCAATAATGCACCCAGATCCCCAAATACACATTGGCCAGCAAAGTATCTCTTTACATGTTTGCCCCAGCAATTAGATTTGTAATGTTTCTGAACAGCTGGCTCCAACTCTGTCAGCCCAGCTTCCCTGAGCTTCCTGTCCAGTACTAGATCACAAAGGAAAGTGCAGTTTCCATCAACTGTTCATCTACTAGCTTGGAGAAGGGTGGAAGGAAGAGAGGGGAGCACAGAGCAGAGGAGCTGCTTGCCTTGCTGTGCCTGTGTATTTGTGGAGACAGATTACAAGCACACACAAGAGTGGATCCATAGGAAAAGAAGCTACCCCAAAGCAGGATGTCAGAGCTAGTGCTCAGGGAACCAGATGATTCTGCAGGAAACTAAGATTTTACAACCTCAAGGAGCAGCATCCATTGTAAGTGGTTTTCAGCATTTGAAATAGCTTAAAAGCCTTTTGACTTTAATATCACTTTAAAGTATATTTCCACTTTTGCGGCCAAATTGGGATTTGTTACATGTTCTCGTTCACATTGCATGAGCTAAAAATAAAACTTGATTCAGCCATTTTATTTTTTTAAATTATTTTGTGGTATGCTGTGTGAATGGGAACACATAACAAACATATAGAGGGGTTTTTCTACCAATTTGACTGCAAAACTGGAAATACACTTTAAAAAGTTTTACAGGATTAACTACCTGTCATTATTAATTTGAATTACCATTTTCCAATGAATTTCACTTTGCTATGTCTTTTTTACCCTAAATGTCATGCTAACAACTAAATGCATAGTCAAAATACATATGAAATGTGTTACCTGCCAAGAGATTTATGATTCTGTTATACCAGTGTTGTGATTCAGGCTGTTAAAACAGCATGTCCAGTCCCTGGACTCTCTGTGCAAAGTACACTGCAGTTAATGGACAACTATTCTGAAATATGTATTCTAATAATTTTATGTGCTTAATACAAGTAATAATATATATATTATCATTATCATTTATATTTATGTAGACATTTTCTTGCAGCGCAAGCTATCCAGCAAAATGACAGTTACTGGGGTTGGAATAAACTAGAACACTGAAAAGGGGGACATAAAATGGTATGGGCCCCTCATATTTGGATGATTCCCTTAGGCCAGGCCCTATATGGGAACCTCACAGCAAATGCTCTCTAGCATTGTTCCCTCACAATAAAAACCCCCATTCACCAATGAGCATCTCTATTCATTTGTTCTGAGATCTACAACATCTGTCTACAATATTTAATACATGCTTGGTGTTTTATATCCTAAAGTGTATTTTATATGATCTGTCTTGTTCTTTTGCAAATGAAAATATTGAAACTTCTTATGCCTGTCCACAAAAAGATTACTAATTCGGTGACCTATTTTGGTACCAACTTTGAAGCATGTTTATCATGCACAAAACATACAGTTCAGCTGAGGTCACAGTGGTACATGACTACTATGACCCTAACTAAGCCGTAATCTTCATGAAGCTCACAATTCAGCTTTAAGACAGATACAGATAAAAGAAAGAAAAGCCATGACCAAAGATGTTATGTTGGTTTCACAACATTACTTATGTCTTTTATGTTGTAGCTCTCTGCATCTAAACTTCCTTGTCTGTTGTGGACTTATGCAAGTTGTGTTCTTTGATGACCACTCTACAAGAATGATTGTTGTAGATATTTGTATGAAACTATGCCTGAAGAAAGAAACTTAACCACTTCCGGACCACAATAGGTACATATACGGCGGCCCACAGAAGTTGTTATACCACACCGCTGCTGCAGCCGTGTTCTTAGTGTCATTTTAAACAGCCGGCAATGGCTGTTAAAGGAGAACTATGGGGTTAGGGTTAGAGCCAGCTGTACCCGCCCCTCCC